GCTAGGAAATTCTATCCTTATGTAAGCATTATCAATGGCAACAATTGTAACCATGACTTGAAAACATGATGTTTATTCAATAACAACAAAATTCCATCATACACTCTATACAAACACTTCAAATGGTCAACAAAAGATTGGAAACCCTGAAAATCCCGGTTTAAGTCCAATATGGACTAGGATTTTCTTATTGGGCCTTAAAGACCAATAAGTCTCCAATATGACTAGTTTGGGCTTAGAACTCTTAATTGGGCTCTAATTTAACCCACCTACATAATATTTGACCTTTTGGGCCATATTGGTCCTAAAATGGAATAAACTACTCCAATAAGCCTTAGTGGGCCGAAACTAGCCTGATTAACCTTGTTGGGCCATAACAAACCCAATTAGCCCTAATGGACCATAAAGCCCATTCTTTTATACAATTTGGGCCGTGAATTACCCTAAAGGACCAATGGGCCGAAAGTTTTGTCTATAAACATCATAATCTTGAACAAAGGATTTAAGTGGGCCAAACAAATTCATACCTTCTTTTCCCTTGTTAGCCCATTTTGGCCCAAGTAAACAAAAGGAGAATGGAAAATTAAACAAAAGCATGCCACCTCAATATTGTTTAATGGTTAATTATGCCATTGTTCAACATGCATCAAGGTAAAAATCTCAGGTTTCCATGCACCCTTCTCACCCCTCTCTTCTTCTTATTTTCGGCCGAGGCTACCCACACACACACACACCACCATTTCAATTTACTTCAAACTCTCTCAAGAACATCTTCATCCTTCCTCCAAATTTTCGAGAATAATAAGGGCTTCAAGATGAATTTCATCCAAAGATCACTTCAAGTTATATACTAGTGAACTCTTCAAATTCGAGGTCTCTTCAAGGAGCTTGTTAGGGCCAAAAACAACACAATCTTCTTCCATTTCTACTTCAAAACCGAAGAAAACTAAGTAAGGTGAGTTCATACCCCTTTTTTCGGTTTTTACTTGTTTTTGGGGGAGAATACAAGTACTATGTGTGTATGTTGTTATATGTGATTTCTTTGGTTTATGTTGTGAAAATATGATATTATTTGCTAAATCACGAAAACTATGGCTAAAGTGTGAAGGTTACATAAACAAATAACATAATAAACCACACACTTCAAAGATCTAAGAGTCTTTAGGTTCGAGAAGTGAAAACAAAGTCAAAATCCTTATAAGTGTCATTTTTGCAAAAATAATAAAGGTTTGGGTAAAATATGATATTTTCGGTTTTATAAGGACAAAATGGTATTATTTACATAAAAATATGACTTTTATGAAAATAACACTTATCTAGGGGTCAAAAACATAAATTTTAGCTTAATGGGCTTTAAATTTGGGCCTCACGAGTTTTGGGCCCAAAGTTGCGAAAAATGAAGTATTTGAGGGGTTGAAATGGAAAAATTAACAAACTATGAGTCTAAAACGTGAATAAAACTATTTTAGGGGCTGAAAATGACTTTGATGCAAAAGTTGGACTAAAAATGCAAAGTTTTTGATTTTGGGGTCAAAATTGTAAAACTTACGGAATTTGAGCCAAAAGTGTAAACATTTTACAAAGAAGGGCTGGAAATGACAAATACAATAGTTTTGGGCTGAAATTATTATTTAAATAAAGTTTGGGTCGAAAATGTCAAGAAAAATGGTTTAAGGACCAAAATGTCAATTTTCATAAAAAGGGACCAAAAGTGCCATTTTTATAGATAAAAGGGGCTGAAACGGTCAAAATAAATATTTTAGTCCGTATAGTCAAATATTAAGTTATTGGGTTAAAAATATCAAGTGTATAATGCATTTTAAAAAAAAAAACAAAATGTTATAATAAAACATACATATATATAAAACCAATGCTCCGTTATAAATCAAACGTCAAAACATTTTAACATTTCCAACAAACATTTAGCTTACATCAAATACCTACACTACGAACTTAAAATCGATAAACTATAAATGATTCAATGATTGGGCTCAAAAATCTTCTGTTCATGCTAGTGGGTCTTTGTGGCCCAATATCATGATTATTGGGCCCAATATATTCACACATGTTTATTGGGCTTCCGGTGACCCTATTTACATGCCTTACGGGTCTTTATTAGTTTCAATATGATATTGGGCCTTAGTGGCCCATTTGCATTGCTAATATGGTCCTAAATATTCATCATGTGCTAAATGGGCTATACGTGTCCATAGCATAGTCGACAGCCTGTATTAACATACAAAGTTAGTGGGCCTCCGTTGTCCTTCTTTCTTTGTCTGTTAGGCTTACCTTATATTCGCGTAAACATAAATCGGAATTGTAAAACAATGTTATTTTATTTCTTTTGGATTTAGTGAGAAATAACGAGTGACACCAATAAGTGTCGGTCGTACTCTGTAGTTATAATCAGAGTCTCCTGGATGGAGAGCAAGAGTTTGTGTATAGATCTATACGGGGGTGACTCCCCCACACCTAAGCTGTTCGCTACAGTTAGACTCGGCCAGTCTAGGGTGACAAAATCTTAATTCAAGACCGGCATTCGATAAAATGCCAAGACAGACGAATTAGTCATTATTATGCATGGTTATAACGACTCACATAAAGATCCATTACCATCTAAGTAATCATGGGAATCATATTCATACGCTGCAACAATACAAAGTGGTTATACAATAATACAAAATTATCAGAGTATTTAAGTCGGAAAACATCGGGTTTTCCAGGGAACGACATTTCTACGCCTAATTACAACAACTATGATACAAGAAACAATTATGAAAGGCATTTCACTTTTACATGTTTTGAAATCATATACACGTATACTTATGGATCATCACACCTTTTTCGTAAACAGTTTTTGTTACAGAAAATATCGGTTTTTCTGGGTTTTACAAACAATACAAACTATTTTGTCTTTATATCAAACATGCTTATGAACTCACCAACATTATATATGTTGACCGTTTTCAAAATAACTTGTGTTCTCAGGTAACCGTTAGAATGAAGAATTATCAAGTGTGTTTCTGAAACGTCTTTTGTGTTATGTCGATCGATAAACAATTTATGTTTTGAATTATGTAAATATAAACAATGTACTGGATGTGAGCAATGACGGCTGTAATGTACTAATGCATGGTGATGTTTATGTTATGTTTCATGTATAATCATTGTGATGATATTTCAATTAAGTCACACGAGCCCTCAGACGTTTCCGTCGTCTGGTTCAGGGGTGTGACATATATGTTATTTCACTTTTTTTCTTGTATGCCCTTTGATGTAGGAGTCGAAAGTTTTATTTGAATTACCATGGTCAAGATTCAAGTTGACAGGATATAGGTCAAGATTCAAGTCGACAGGATATAACATATATTTCTGTTATTCTACTCTTCTGTTTAGAAATCGATACCCTTATGTTTTTTCCCGGAAACTATCGGAAGTCGATTACAAGAATTGGAATCCTATTACATGGGTTCATCAAAATAACATCGCTTCCTCGATCTAAGTTTTCATGGAATTTCTACTGCATCGTTTTGCTCTTTCATCTATCTACATCCATATTACCGATCTTAATTTTGTTAATTGTGACAGGGCGTTTTTTTTAGAAGACTTACAACGAATTGAAGAAAGCAAACCCTAAGTTGCTTATATTGATCTTAATTTTGCTAATGGTAACAGTGTAGATTATTAATTAGGACAGGGCTTTCCTTTGTGTAAGAAAATACACATTAGTTGCTTTTTGAAGTTTTGAGATTTGACATCCAAACTCAGATGTCCATTTTGATTTTCCTTAGTTTACATTTTCAACTATTCTGGGTTTTGATTATCCTTACTTGATCGCCTGCTATAAACTGTTAGCATGTATGACATTTACTAAGTTATGGTTTTACATGTCTATATTTGATACTAGATCTGTTAATCTGTTATATATTTTTGGTGAGGTTCTTAAAGACGGTGCAAAACACAGGCCTTTATGTTCATCTCAGAATTGGGCCTTACGTCTCTACAGAATGGAATTTTGCGTATTTTCGATTACTTTTCTTTAATTCAGAATTCACCATATTTTTCTTTTATTTTTTGTTAACCAAAACAAGTCATAATTTGTGCAGAGGATTCCCAGTTTGGCTCAAGTATATTCCTGGTATTAGTTTCAGAACAGATAATGAGTCATTTAAGGTAAAATGATACTACAAGAATATTTCACATCTTTTTGTTATGTTATGATATATATATATATATATATATATATATATATATATGTATATATATATATATTATTATATATATATATATATATATAAATTTTAATTCAATTTGAATTATTGCAGTGGCCAATGAAGGGGTTCACTTAGAAAATTGTGAGGTTGATGAAAAGTGAAAACTTGCATGAATCTCAAGGAGGCCCAATTATACTCTCACAGGTAAACTGGTAATTTTAAAACCTTTTTGTTTTTAGTTATTTCTTGAGTCCAGTACACACGTATTTTATGTAGTAAAGGTTGTAGATTTGAGGTTTTGTGGTACACCTTTTGCAACACAATGTACAGGTAACTAAAGGAAAGCATGACCATGGATTTCTACTAATTATTTACATTACAGATTGAGAATGAGTACGGGTCTCTAGAAACGGGATATGGTGCATTCGGACATAACTACATAACCTGGGTTGCAAAAATGGCCGTTGGATTAGGTACATGTGACCCTTGGACCATGTGTAAACAAGATGATGCGCCGGATCCTATTGTAAGCTCCATCCGACCCGACTCGACTCGTATACACTAATCTTTTTTAAAAACTTAGTAATTCTAACTATTTGGACAGATAAACACACATAATGGCTTCTATTGTGACACTTTTACCCCCAACAAGCCTTACAAACCCAAAATTTGGACAGAGGCGTGGCTAGCATTGTAAATAAACTTATTTGAAATGAATTGCCCTATAACTTTGTGTTACTTTCCATATGAGCCAAACTGGTAGATATGTGGAATTGAGATAAAGCAATGGTGGTTTTCAGGTAATTTTATATCATTTTTTTGACTCAATATCTACAATTTTATTCACTCCATTTTTTGATAATTATCTGCTTTTGTATTATTGATAGGGATGATTGGAGATGTGTTGTTGACAACCTTTTAACCAAAAAGAGGTGCTGATTGGAGATGTGTTGTAGTGGTAAATAATTTTTTTTTGTTTTACTTATTTGTACAGATATAAGGAGTCTCCCAACAATGAAATTTTAAACTGGGTATGATGTAGAAACCATGTTTGGGGGCTTGGAACCGGTGGCTTCACAATGCCAAACAATTCAAATGCTAACTAACTTATTTATTTATTATTTAATCTGTCAAAATCATCATTCATATCTCACAAATAAACAAACTCATATATTTTTCATTTTTTATAAATAAAATAAAAAAACAGTGCCTCCGGAAGAATTGTATGCTACACAGCTGGCACAGCTACAAGAAATTGGATTCTTTGACGCACGTGAGAATCGTCAAACACTGACAGCCACCGCAGGTAATGTTCATGCTGCATTTGAGAGTCTATTTGGAATTCTTGGTTAATGTCAGATATGGAATACTGATTATGTAATTGATGTCTTTTAGTTTATCATTTAAATGTAATGTCACATTTTAGTGTATGATTTATATGGATGTTTTTTCCTAGAGGAAGAAGAGCAATGTATTTGCAAACTTGCAGGTAAGGCATTACATGCAATTATTCTTCCTTTCATTGTCTGCAATTGTGTCCGTTTGTATCTTTCTACATTTGTTTTTTTGGTGGAACATCTTTTTTCCATATGCATTCGTAATACTTTGATTACACATATTTCCCTTTTTGTTGATCGTAATTGTTGAGGTTGGTGATGCAGTTTTTAAGGTGCTTTCTATTTCTGGAGATACACATCTTGGTGGTGAATAGTTGATTGGTAACTACCTTTTATAATTTAGTTATAGAGACATTAGATTAGATTAGATTTGAATATTTTCTCGAATAAAAATTGTTAGACAATATTCTTGAAAAGCTCCTTCAATTGTAGTAACGCAGTTAAGAAATAACAATGTACATTCATTTTTTAATGGAATATTACAACATATTCAATTCTTATGTGTTTGTAAATGGGGAAGTTGCAGAGAATAGCAACATACTTTACTATGTCTACAGTTCAGGCAATGTATTATATTTCACACAATAGTTTATAAACTATTGTGTGAAATATAATACATTGCCTAAAAACACCATAAGCACAAAATCATCTAAATGCACATGGGTAATGTTAATGATTGTTTTGGGGACATAATGAACACCATAAGCACAATTTTGTGAATTTTTGTCTTAAATATTTGTTGCTTTACTATGCGTATCGTGTACCTTTAATTTGCTACATGTGAAATTTGTAGAGACGTATGATAAGGAAAGCAGTGTGTATTATTCGACAGCAAGATTATGGGATGACGGGGTTATTATGAATTAAATAAAATTTAGAATTTTAACTTGGGCCCTTTCAACTTTAGTCTGTATGTGATTTTGAAGATGGCTTGACTGATTCGATTATCAAAAGATGAAAACTATGGTGAAAACTGAACCCCACGGAGCGGGGTTTCCCACCTATTTTAATAACACATATCTCAGTTGCATTTATTCTTTTCATTTAATGTTTCATATTGGACACACTTTATTATGAATACTTCTATGTGTATCTCGATACTTTGTATACCTTTCCTCTTGATGTTTGATATTGGAGGCATTTTATTTGATCCGTGGAATCCGGCTCTCCTGCTCCATCCCATCAACCAAAGGATAAACCCATGAAGTATATATTTTGATAAATAGCTTATCCGACAACAAAAAAAATTATCCATGACGAAACAATATTACTACCCCATAACAATACTCAAACTATAAACAAATAGTTGGTCAAATGACATTTAGAAAGAACAAACAACAGAAAAAATTGTCGCATCCGACCCCCGCAACGCAGGGGTCCCCACCTAGTTATATATATATATATATATATATATATATATATATATATATATATATATATATATATATATATATATATATATATTAACTACTTTTAAAATCTAAGATTTTAAATAACAAGAGACGTCGCATGGTGGCAAAATCAAACTTCAAATCATGGTGAGTCATGACCTTTTTTCAAAACGTGACAATTTCATATACATTAAAAATGATAAATCACATAATAATAAAATTATATCAATTGTATCAAGTTTTTAAAAGTGTTAAATCAACATTTTAAATGAAAAAGTTAATAAAAACTAAATTGTTTTATGCACGATCAGAAAAAAAATATGAGACTTGACAAAAACACTCGTGCCATAATGCAATATGGTGTGTCTTTACACATTATTTGAGTGTCACGCTTAAGAAACCCGGTGTGTATACACGACACCGTGTGTTATGTTATGCTTTGGCTTGCGCCAAGACACACCTTTTAGAACTATGTCTAAAATTGAAGTATATGAAATTAAAATTTACTGAAAGGTCTTTGAGTTTTGACCTCTTTAACGATTTAGTCGTAACCTTTTTTTTGTGTTAACTAAATCCCCAAAACTGGAAATATTTTGCATTCTGAACCTTTTACCCGGTAAACTGGTCACCAAGAGAATAATAAATGATCACCAACAGAATATGATGACTTTTTTTTATGTATTTATCAAAATATAAGGATTTAAAAAAAATATTTTTAATATTATCTTACTATCATACTGTAATCTTAACATATTAGTTTATTATTATGGATATTACCAATAGTTAATGACCTTGGACACTCTTTCCAATTATCCCCCAATCGTGCAAGTCATCAACTATACGAGGTCTAATACATCTCTAATAATCAACATAGAGTATCCCATCAAATACAATTGTCGAACTCTGATCTAAGCAAGATTCAACCCTTAGACAAGTGATCAATTATTCATTTTTTCTACAAGATATTTGTATGAACATGAAACATGGATAAGAGTCAATCTCAGTTTTCAAGATTCTGTTTCCCGATAAAGATTTGTGACGACTAAATCTGACTGCTAAATTAAACACATTAATTTCCGCCAGGGCTCGGTGAAGCACTTTAGATGTTAGCACCAAATCATCGATGGGTGCATAGATATTGCTTCTCCTGATAGGACATAAGCAATAGACAAACTTGGTTATCATAAATAGACTAAATCTTGCTCTCTATGCTCTTTTTTCATTTGGTAGCCTTTAGGCATGTCATCGTTTCCTTATATTTTGATGGCTTATCCATACAAACCAATGAGTCATCACTAACCTGTACGTATCCTTCTGTAGTAATATGGAAGCCATAGAACTCAGTAGGAAGACAAACTCTATTGGATCTACGAAGAGGATGTGAAGATACATCAGTTTTCTCAATAGGTGGTTCAACCTCAAGTTGAGTGCTAGTGTGAAATTTAGGTTCTTCTTCGTTTGACTCTTGAATCTCTTTAAGATTGATATGACTCCCACTAGATTTTTTGGATATTAGCACCCTCTCGAGGAAGAAGCCCCATCGACCCACAAATAGTTTGATCTTGTAAGGCTTGTAATAGAAATATCCAAAAGACTTGTGGGTATAACCTATGAAGTAACATTTATTTGATATGGGTTTGAGCTTACCGTTGGTCTCACGGTGAACAAAGGCTTCGCAACCCCAAAGTTTCACATGTGCAAGAGATGGACTCTTCTTACTCCACATTTCAGAGGGTGTTTTAGCAACCTTCTTAGGTGGTACGAGATTTAATATGCGGGCAACTATCTCAAGGGCACTAGCCCAGAAGCTAATTGGACGTGCAACTCGACTCATCATAGATCTAAACATATATAATATTGTTCGAATTCTCATCTCATCAAATCCATTAAGCTATGGCATTCTGGAAGGAGAAAATTGTGAAACTATTTCACAATCCTTTAGATGATTGTTGAATTCAAGACTTAGACATTCTCCACTCATATCTAACTTGAACAACACAACTAAGCACAAGCTCGAATTCCCTAATCCTTGTAACAAGTATAGTGAGTTTGTTTCCCATCACCAGGTTGAGCTCCCTATGCTTTAGATTCCTACTTTATTTTATTCCCTACATATAATAGAAAATGTGAGTATTACATCCTAAATGAAGAACCGAAGAATTAGAAGTTGATGTACTATGGAGTTCAATCTTAAAAATATTTGAGAGGCTAGTCTCATTGACGTTTCCCTTTTTTCAGATCCTCTAGGTACTTAGGCCAACTACGTGTCTAGTGTAACTTAGACTGGAAGTAGAAATACACATGCCATGAGGGACTTTACGATCTCAAATAATTCTTGCCTAACTTACTATTGGAACATTTCCTTGAGTTGCTCGTTAATTTCGAACGCCCCAAGATTCTACAAGCCCTTTTGGAGCTCGGAGGACATGGCCACCAACATAAGGAAATCAACCTTAGTTGACTCATCGTAATGCTTGTTATAAGTAGCCACTTAATCATCGGTAGACTCATAACTAATTTCTAGGAGATAGTCGTTGAGAGCATACTCCTAATACTCGTACCTCAAGGTGATCCTCAATGTGTGGATCCAATCGAGATAATTTTGGAGCGAGAGGTTTAAGTAAGGTGGTGTGGAGGAGGAGAAGGATGAATATTGTTTTTGTTGTTTTTTTGTTGTTATCATTAGGACCATCCATATACAAAAGAGAAGATTTTTTGGTTTTATTCAAAAATCAGTTTCTAAAAACACTAAAAACGACAATGGAAGCTTTAAAACTATGAATAAACTTAAAAATATTTTAATCCACCAAGGATATTTTTGCAATCATGGAAATATTAAATCAACCACATAAAGCAAAGATTACAACCTTTGAAATTTTTGGTTCTCATGGGAGATGGAAGTTGATGAAGTGATGCATGAAGATCCAAAATAAATAGTATTTTACTATACAAGTACTTTATGTTCTAAGCATAAATAATAAATTCCACCAATGAATTTCAAACTTGCTTGTGCTTAGTTGCTTACTCTTTTTGAAATATATGCAATCCATTTATAAATATTAGATTAACATTTAATACCAAGTACTTGAGTGTTATATGAAAAGTACGAGTTCTACCTAATAGACACCTGAATTACTGGCTTGGCCAGTTCTTCTCAGACAAAAGGGATAGTTCCTCTTACAGTGTTTGCTTCTCTAGAGTAAAAAAAAAATCCATCCTAGTAGGACTTCTTCGATTTCTTGGCCTAAAGTCATCCTTTCCTAGAACTAAGGGCCCCTTGGAGCACATACGGTGACTCTTTTCAGCTTTGCATTCTTCATGTGTTTGAACTGGTTCATACCAAATATCATTGTATTTTAGGAATATCTGATTAACTTGACGAAACATATAAAATGCTTTTAAGTCTTCTAATTCCTTCCAAAGGCTAGGTATAACTGTACCCAATATGATGTCAGACACGCTGTCAACATCACATCAATGCTTCCATCAAGCATAAAGTTCAACTTTACTGGTTGTGACATCCCCATTTTCACTGTCAAAAAATACTGTTTTATTTATGCTTAAT